GCTATGGCGAGCAATATCCTAATAGATTTAATCTTAGCCACTGGCGAAAAAGTCTCATCATAGTCAACCCCTGGGGTTTGAGTGAAACCTTTTGCAACCAGTCGAGCCTTGAATGTATGCACATTCCCATCCATGTCTGTCTTCTTCTTGAAGATCCATTTGCACCCAACTGTCTTACGACCTGGTGCACTATCAACCAAATTCCAAACTTGGTTGTCATACATGGACTTAATCTCGCTGTCCATTGCCTCTTTCCACTTGGAAGCCTCTGGGCCTGCCATTGCTTCCTTATAAGTGACTGGTTCATCTAAGTTTACCAGTGTTCTGTCACTTATGAATGTGTCACCATCTGAAGTAATATGAAAACCATACAACTCAGGTGGCACACTCACCCTAGTGGATCTTCTAAGAGGTAATGAGTTATCAATTGGTTCAACAGGAACTGTTTCCTCTGGTTGAGTGCTAGTGTCATCTAAGGTTCCTTCATTGGCTGACTCTTGAATTTCTTCAAGGTCAATAGTGCTCCCACTGTCCTCTTTGAATATGAGCTCTCTTTCAAGAAAGACTCCTCTTCGTGCTACAAAGACCACGTTCTCACTAGGCCTGTAGAACAAATATCCAAAAGACTGCTTTGGGTAACCAATGAAAACACATTTCTCACTTCTAGCTGCTAGCTTGTCGTGAGTCTCTCGTCTTACGAAAGCTTCACAACCCCAGACTTTAATATGTGCTAACGAGGGAACTTTCCCTGTCCACATTTCGTGAGGTGTTTTGGCAACCTTCTTTGTAGGGACAAGATTGAGGATGTGGGCGGCTGTCTCTAAGGCATACCCCCAGAAGTGAATAGGAAGCGAAGCCCGACTCATCATAGAACGAACCATGTCTAACAAGGTTCGATTGCGCCTCTCAGCTACACCATTTAACTGTGGTGTCCTAGGAGGAGTCAATTGTGAGACTATCCCACATTCTTTCAGATAGTCGTTAAACTCGATACTAAGATACTCCCCGCCTCTATCGGATCTAAGTATCTTTATCTTTCTGCCCAATTGATTTTCGACTTCATGCTTAAACTCTTTGAACTTTTCAAAAGTTTCTGACTTATGCTTGATCAAGTAGATATATCCATATCTGCTATAATCGTCAGTGAAAGTCACATAGAATCGATTAGCATCTCTTGTAGTTGATCTGAAGGGCCCACACACATCCGTGTGTATGAGATCCAACAGACCTTCACCTCTTTCACAAGACCCTGTGAATGGTGATTTTGTCATCTTTCCCAAAAGACAAGACTCACACATATCATCTGACTTTAGGTCAAATGATTCCAACACTCCATCCTTTTGGAGTTGGGCTATGCGTTTCTTGTTAATGTGTCCAAGACGACAATGCCACAAGCATGCCTTGTCTACACTATTAGACAAGTCAATATTAAGTACACTATTTCCTAGGCTATCAACACAAGTCACTGTTTCATACACACCATTACAAGGCAAAGCTTCAAACATAAAAACACCATTCTTATAAACAGAAATTGAACCATTCAAATCATTAAAAGAATATGTAAAACCTTGTCTGAACAATGCATGAAATGAAATAATGTTTCTCGTCATCTCAGACGAATAGCAACAATTTATTAAATCTAATCTAACATCATTACTAAGCAGAAGCTGATAAACTCCGATCTTGGTTACTGGTGAAGACTTTCTGTTTCCCATGATCAGGTTTATCCTTCCTCGCTCTATCTCCTCACTTTCCTTTAGACCCTGCAAATCAGAACAGATATGAAAACCACATCCTGTATCAAGGACCCATGAACGAGAAGATAATGAGTTATTAGCAGAAATAGTGTAAATACCTGCCGAAGATGGCTTCACTTTGCCATCCTTGATATCTTGCAGATATTGTGGGCAAGATCTCTTCCAATGCCCCTTTTGGTTGCAGTAAAAGCAAACTGCCTCTTTTGGATCAGAAACATGGGGAGTGGAACCATTGGGCTTAGCCTTTGGGCCATTACTAGATGACCCAGCTTGAGCCTTGCTCTTCCAGTTTTGCTTGGGAGGACCTTTCCTCTTTTTCCCCTTTCCCTGTCCAATAGCCAAAACAGGGGCACTCAGGTGTGGAGGGTATACTTTTACCTTTCATCCCTGCCTCAGCTGTCTGCAACAAGTTGTGCAATTGGGCCAAGGTCTGCTCAGTATTGTTCAAATGGTAAGTTAGAATAAACTGACCATAACATTCAGGAAGTGAGTTCAAGACCATGTCAATGGCCAATTCCTCATCAAAGTGAATATTGAGCTTGACCAAACGCTCTATGTAGCGTTGCATTCTTTGCACATGTGACACAACCGACTCCCCATCTTTCATCTTGCAAGCCATGAGTGACTTGACTACTTCGAACTTTTCTTGACGAGCTCGCTTATGGTACTTTTCCATAAGGTCCTTGTTCATCTCGAAAGGCCAGTAGTCCTCATAGTACCTCTGCAGTTCTGGGGACATAGTTGCCACCATGATGCATGCCACTTTGGTAGCATCATCGTAATGTTTCTTGTAGGCAGCAAGATCTTCAGGAGTAGCTTCATTCTCATCAAGCTCTTTGAGCTCCTTTTCAAGAACATATTCTTTGTTCTCGAAACGAAGAGCCATCTTGATGTTGCGCATCCAATCGTTATAGTTTGAGCCATCCATAACGACTTTGGAGCATATATTGAGCAAAGAGAAGTTTTGGTTGGAGGAGGACGAAGCAGAAGTGTTTCCAGGAGTAGACATCTGAAAAGAAAGAAAGTTTTAGTTAGATTTCAAGATACCTTAATAGAATAACCCAAAGATATAATATCAAGGTTAGGATCCAACTATGAAGATTCACAACTTAGAAATGGGATGCCGAGATCCAAGTGCAAATTTCATAAAGGTAGGTGAATGACGATTCACCAATTCCACCATTAGACGAAACAAACGAAGTGAAATTCCTAATTCTTTTGAGATACATTGAAACTATTCAATGGCATGTTTTATTCTCAGATTATGCTCTTCTATTTGTGACTGGGATGCCGAGGATCACAAACAAGATGTGAATAACCATGCAAATGTGCTTGGTAACCTCATTGTCTTTATCATTAACTATTGATGTGCTGGTAAACCACACACGCTCCATCAAAATGACAATTATGAGATACCCATTACTACTCTTTATTAGTGCCTTTTAGTGTGCTGGTTAACCACACACGCTCCACTAACGACCAATAAAGCATAATGTGCAATTTCATGGATTAGCATACTTTTCACATTTTTCCTAAAGTAACTAGAGTTGGGATTTTGAAAATAATGTTCTAGTACTTTCTTTAATATCATTATACTTTTAATGAGAAGTAGTTGTCCTATCAAATCCGTTCTGCTAACGACCCTCCACTAATCAAGGAAGCGGTGGGTGAGAGTGGACACCCATTCAACTACCATTTTATAGGCAGTTTCCTTATACCCCCCTTATAGATTAGCTTCGTGAATGAGGCATACTAGCGATTTGACTGACCATATTCTTATACATATAATATTAAACCTTTAATTATAATATATATATAAGGTGTGTTTTAAAACTTTTTAAAACTTCAAGGGTTTATATAAATTTCGAAATTTAAGCTGTTAAATTCAAATTTAAATAAACCAATTCACTAGATTTAATATTTATCTATTAATTAACTATTAATCAAATTATTAAATCTTGTAAGGATTATCTAATTAAATTAATCAATTAATTTAATCCTAATCCTTATCCCTCTAATTTCGAAAAATAGGGTAAGGATAATTATCCAATTAATCTAATTAAGTAACAATTATCCAAAAAACAAGAAACCCTAGTTATCTTCTAGCATATTTCGAAATTTACAAGGGAGGAGGCTAGGGTTTTCAAAACCCTAACCCTAATTTCGATTAGGGTTCTTTGGAGGCTAGGGTTTTCGAAAAAAACCCTTTGATCCAAAACCCTAGAAATCGAAAATTTGGCCTTTAGGGTTTAATAGCTATAAACCCTAATTTGCAATTCAACAATTGTAGCAATTCAATTTAAAACAACAATGGCTCTGATACCACTGAAGGGTTTTAGGTAAAACAAATAAACTAGAAAAACAATTCCTAAGTTCACATGCAACCTACTTTGGATCTATGTTTTAACTATTGAACATACAACTTTGAATTGCAAACAAGAACCCTAGAGGAGAGAGGCTATTATCGAAAATAGTAAACTAGGGTTTAGGGTTTACATACCTTTCAATTGTTATAACAAACAATTGATATTCCCTTGATCTTGATCTTGATCTTCTTGGAAGCTTTAGCACCACAAGTGTAATGCCTCTAATGGAGTCACACCCAAACTAGCAAGAAGGAAAGTAGAAGAGAGAGAGAGGAGAGGGAGTATGCAAAATCTCGGCCTTAGGGTTTCTTCAAAAGAAAGAGTGTCCAAAAACATGAACCAGGAGGCTCCTTATATAGCTGAGGGATCTAGGGTTTAAGGGAAACCCTAGTTATCCTTTGCTTAGGGCCTAAGCAAACCCAAGGGCCTTATCCAAGCCCCTATGGACGAAATTATTAGGGTTTCCCCTAAAGATTTCGTCCACCCTCTTCCAAGGGGGTTCTAGAGCCTTCCACTCAACTATTAGATAATTGCAAACTAGTCCCTGCACCTTATAATTAATTCTTTTAACCCCAAAATCAATTCTGATTAATTTCTGGCTAACAATTAATTAAACATAATGATTTCTAATTAATATATTAATCCATTAACATATTAATAAATCATTTATATATATATATATATATTAATTTATTAATCTTATAAATTAATATCTCTCCTTTCATAATTTCCTTGTCCAGTTGCTAGGTTGAGGGCAACCAAAAAGGACTGTGCTGCTGTCAATTCAAGTACATACCAATTATAGTTATGGGCTTAGACACCTAATCCAACATCTTCTTCTTCTTTTCGTCAAAGTCGATCACAATCGTAATTAATATCATCGGACCCACAATCTCTTGAAATCAACCACCAATCTATATGTAAAAGGGTCTCTTTTGAAGAACTCAATTGTTGGAAGTTCTAGCAAGTAAGAAGAAACGAGTGGAGCTACACCTGAGATTTCAGCTCGGGAGAAGCTGTTAACTGAGCAGCGTGAGCTTTTGCAGCAATCTGGAGACGATTTCTCTCCCTCTGCATCACCACCGAAAACGTGCACCACCGTCGGCGCCACAATCAATACCCATTGCAACTCGAATCCTAAGGAAATCATCCCCTGTCATCATCTCATACCTACAACTTGAGACCTGCTTATCAATTTTACAAATAAAGAAGAAAGAGACATCGGATCTCCATCTCTGTCCCATCTTCTCGTTCAAAATCAAATAAGAAAAAGAGGATCATTGAGATCTGCTTATCAATTACCACACCAGATCTTGAAACAACAGAAGATAAAAAGGCTTACAATCGAAATAAGTACAAAAAGAAACATGTTGATCAGAAGCATTCAGTGAAAGGAAGGCGGAGGTCATCGGTGGAAAGGCGGCAAAGGTCATCGGTAGAAGTGGAAGCACCGCTGGGATTGGAAGAAAGAACTAAGGAGGGATGATGGGGTGGCTTAGCTTTGATAGGAGAAGAAGAAATATGGAAGGAGGTTCGATCGAGTGTATGGGTTTGTGATGGGGAAAAAGAAAAATGGAGAGCCCCAATTGTTGTCTACGTACGACACTCCTCCACATCTTCATCCTCTAATTGAATTGCACATGCTTCCTCAGATGTTCAATCCAGAAATGGTGGAGATGTTGGAAGCTTGATTTTCAAAGATCTCAGTCCGATTACAGGGAGATCTTGGCGTCACTGTAGATCTATGGACATGATCTGGTGGTATTAAGAAGGAAGATACAAAGAAGATGAATTAGTCCTGGTAAAAAGAAAAAGGATGGGGGTATACGGTGGAGAGAGAGAGAGAGAGAGAGGTCTATTTTTATATTTAATAATAATAATAATATTAAAAAGTGAAAGAAGAATGAAAAATAAAGACTAAATTGCAAAAATGGTCCCTGTGGCATGCATTTTTTTGGGGTTTTAGTCAAAACCACAACTTTTTTGGATTGATGGTCCTTTTGAGGTAGTTTGCTTGTAGTTTTGGTCCCTCGGAAAACTGAAAAGACTAAAATACCCTTGAGGTATTTCTTTTTCATTTTTTGTCTATTTTTATAATTAAAAAATTAAGAAATCTCTCTCTCTCTCTCTCTCTCTCTCCAGGCGCACCTCCCGAACAAGCACCTAAACTAGTTATCGGCCGATTAAAACTCGTTTCCAACGATGTGCTTTATAGAGAACAGTCATGGAGTTCTTCATCGAAGTTGTTTACTTATTGGAACTCGATTGACAAGAAAACAACCCCAAAGAAACAACTCTAGACCCAAAATGGTTCATCCCCTTCATATACAGAGTCTCCTAAACCCTAATTGATGAACACAACAGATCAATCTATGGTGCAATTCTCGAATGGTATCGCTCTAATGCCTTATCGGATTTCATCCTAATCTCCCCAAGCGGCCCCCGTTGAGCCATTTTAGCCCTAAGAGGTACGATTCTGAAATCCCTAACTACTTGGCACGACATTGAAGACAATTTTAGGTTTTTAACGTGTGAGAGTTTGAAAGAATCTGTGAGATTAAATGGCATATTGGAAATCATTAGCAAAATAGGGGTTGTTTGTTGAGATGCATTTGTTTATCTGCCTCCGATTTCTCTTGCAGTGAGTTTGAAGAATATAGCGGAGAAAGCGGTTTTTGGTTGGCATAAATGTTAAATCGGTGATGCCTTCTGCTACGTTTGTTGTTGAAATCGAATTGATCTCAGTATGTATGTGTGTGTGTTTTGTTTTATTAGATGATGGCCAATTATGACGATTCGATGACGATTCGATGAAGGAGAAACCATATCAGAACTAGATCAGAGTTTTCATCTGCAGGTGGGGGCACCATCTTCCTCACATAACATGTGGTAGCTGAAGGAGAGGGTTAAGTTGCAGGTTTCAAAGCGAGGAAGGAGAGCTTGAGTTATCGAGTTCTGCAGATTAATTAACCTAACCCATGTGATGTAGAAGCTTCCTATTCTGAAATAAGTTTGTGACAAAAATTTCAATTGCTTGACCATCAACAACTCCATTTTTATCAGTTCCTGTATACTATCGTTTCTGATCAATTCACTTAGCAATAACCAGATTTCGTTGCTTCTCTCCGATATTGTTTCTTTTTCTGTATGATCGATCAATAACAAAAAAGGGTAGCTCCACACTATTTGCCTTCTGGTCTATGATCGATCGTGGGAATAAAGGAGGAGGCGTGGTGAAGATGCAGGTTTCAAAGTTGGGAAAAAATACAATCAGCCGAGAGAGAGAGAGAGAGAGAGAGTGTGTGTGTGTGTGTGTGTGTGTGAGAGAGAGAGTGTGTGTGTGTGTGTGTGAGTGAGTGGGGTGTGGGCCCTATTTTATTATTAATAAAACATTAAATTAAATAGAAAAAACATAAAAAAATTTATCAATAGGGCAATTTAGTCATTTCAATTTTCGGAGGGACCATTTTTACATACAAACTAGTCCAAAAGGACCACGAAGCCAAAAAAGTCATGGTTTGGACTAAAACCCCAAAAAAATGCATACCATAGGGACCATTTTTGCAGTTTTGTCAAAAATAAATTCATTAAGGGTATAATAGTCTTTTTAGTTTGGACAGGGACCAAAACTGCAAGCAAACTAGCTCAAAAGGACCATCAACCCAAAAAGTCGGGGTTTGGACTAAAACCCCAAAAAAATGCATACCACAGGGACCATTTTTGCAATTTTGTCTATATAAAGATTGGAACACATTATTGTCATCATCCGAAGGTATGTGTTTATTACTACAAGTAAAGGAGGTTGGAATTTTATTTCTTAATAGTTCTTTGTAAAATTGCATTTGCAGGTGCAAGAACAAAAGAACTACCTATATAAGCATGAAGTTTAGCTACTTCAAGAAGTTGGGACTTGACTTTGATATGCTTATTGAAGGATGGGACACAAGCTAGTAAAATGTAATGTCAAGTTAGAAATTATGAGAATGTAAATTGTTGTGTATATTATCTTCATGTATGCACTTGGATAGAAAGGGTTCAATCCTTAGTGACACCCTGATATTCGAATATTTGGAATGAGTAATATACTAATGTGAAATTCAATCGTCACGATATTTCATTTATGCATCAGTTTGTTTTTCTTATGTTTTGTTTTTAAGTTAATCAAGATTACACTTAAATGAGGGAGGTTTGTTGGTGAATTGTTTCACTAAGTGTATTTAAGTGTAATAGATTGACTAGTTGACCAAAATTAATCTTGATGAATATTAAACAAGTAAGGAAGATGTGGAGTACACACTTGTTTAAGTTTATTCAAGATTTTAAGTAAGGGCTAAATTGATTTCAGAATTGGTTTGAAGTTGGAACAAAAACAATTTCGGAATAAGTAAGTGTTGAATCGAAACTGAGATCGAGGTATAGTTGATTTCAAACCAATACTATGTTTGTAATTTGAAGTGATGCGAATGCGATCTGATGTGAATGCGATTCCGAAATATTGGATGTGAATACTCCTTCGCAACGATAATATGTTACTGTTCAACTGCGATCTATCACAACCAATTGTAACACAACATTTTGGAACTTTCGCATCGAGTTGGATGGTAATGTTCGTTTCGCATCAGAATAATCATTGATGGTTCGCATCGCTATGATCCATATAAGATTGCATCGCAACGATTCATTGAAACAATCGCAACGAACTCGTTTTCGCAACCATGAATCGCAACAAGCTTGCGTCGAAACACATGCTGGTCAGTATTATATTCAACGGTTAAAACAATTATTTTGTGTCAGGTTTGAGTGTAAGGTGGATATTCATCGGTTAAACTTATTGTCCAACGGTTAAAAGCCCGTTTTGTGTCAGTTTTTGAACATTACAATTGTCTTGTAATGGTTTTCAACCAATTGACATATTTAAGTAATTTTTTGGTCAAATTCAAAGGATATGGTACTTTACGTTGAAGAACTCAACAGACAAAACAAAACTTCTCATTCTCTTTCTTGTTCTCGAACTTCTGATTATTATCCAATTGATGATTTAGATTTAGGAGTACCACCCAAATACTTCGATTTAAAATTGTAAATCACGATCTCAGAATTTCCAAGTGCTTTAATCCCAAATCACCACAAGGAAATAGAAACATATTTCTAAAAAATTACAATAAAGACCCTACATCATACAAGATATTAAAATAAATACAATACAATCTAACACAATAAGATATTATTTTTGGTTGATTTTAAAATATCTTTATTTAATTTGAATCAAATAATAGAATGACACAAAAGAGTAAAAGACAACATTACAATCATAAAATGATAGCAAGCTAAACGTGTGGGTTACGATAGAAAAGAAATGTTAATGTTTTAAAGATGCATCTTTAAAACCAAACCAAACTCTATAATAAGGCCAGGAGCGTGTCACAAATATACAAACAAAGGTAGTTACATGACCGGCAACCGGCTAACGTAGGTGAATAAAAGGCCGTTAGAAGTGGATCAGTAGTTTGTCGTTTTGTACACGTCATTGCCTTTTCCACTTGTATTTAATTAATTAAAGTTGGCACCATATCCGATTCAATCCGGTTTTACAGTACAAGTGCAGTCCAGCCTGGCCAACCGTACTCGAAATATTCATCCTTATCCTTCCCTTCAATTCTTCATTCCAATTAGAGAAAAAAATATATAAGAAAATTTAAATAAATATATAAGAATACAATATATTATTATGAGCATTTAAATAAACAACAACTTTTTTTATTTATTTAGAATATATATAGGTTTCCATTTTTTTTAGTAACATGTTTTGAAAACAAGTATTTGGTTTGAGGTTGTGTAGAATGGATCAATTATCTTAAATTTAATTTCTTTAAACGATGGATTGATATTTAAAGTAATCTCTTAAACTATTAAAACATTAATAGTTATGTTTATGGTTGTTAACTAAATACAAAAATATATTAATAAATTACAATGATAGTAAGTTAACAAGTAAAAACTTATATTTTTATCAGAGAAAAGGAATATTACCGGATGCAAGTAAGTTTACTCACAAGAAAAATAGAATTATCTATTTAAAAATAGTAAAATATTAACACTAAAAAATATATAATTATATACAAATAAAAATCAACTAACAAAAATATTAAA